GACCTAGCCTAAATACCCTTCAATAAGAGAATGTCTAAGCAATTGGGCTGCATTCATACAAAAGAAAGTTGGCAAATTTTTTTTTTTTCTTTTTCCTTTTTATCAGTACCGGGGATCAAACTCACAACTGCCTGCTTGCAAGGCAGGCACTTATGCCATTGAGCTAAATCTCCAGCCCCTAAATTGGCAATTTTAAAAGGAAAGAACTACTGATACATTCAACAAAAGAATGCACTCTAGATACTTTCATCCTGTTTCTTTTTGCAGCGCTGGGCATCTAAACTAGGGCCTTGTGCATGCTAAACCGATGCTGTGTTCCCAAGCTACATCATCCTAGCCCTGATCTCTCTACCTTTTATCCCAAATTTCAGAGTTCATATTTTAACTAGGTGCTGCTTGACTTGTGATGAGGTAACCAGTTGTGTATTCATTCAAAAGAACAGCACTCTGCAATCTTAAAAGGAAATAACTGATATATTCAACAAAAGGAGACACTTGATATTTTATGCTTTTTGTTCTCTTCTTCTTGGAAGCTGGGGCTCTATAATGGAGCTTCATGCATGCCTACTAGCAGGTGGCGACCACCGAGATACAGCCCAGCCCTAACATTTTGATCTTTCAATCCAACTTTCAGAGTTCATGCTTTCCCAGCAGATGCTCCTTGACTTAAAATGGAGTTATGTCTCAGTAAACTCATCCTACACTTAACATATTGTAAGCAGAAAATGTTCCTTGACTTAACATAGCTACTAGGTCCACTAAATTTATTCTAATTGAAATTTCCAAAGCCGGGCTGGGGATTAGCTCAGCGGCATAAGTGCCTGCCTTGCAAGCGCGCGGTCCTGAGTTAGATCCCCAGCACCAAAAAAAAAAAAAAAAAAAAAAAAAAAAAAAAAAATATATATATATATATCCAAAGCTGAATCACATTTAACACACCCAGTCCACCAGCTACCACAGTTTAGCATAGCATCACATGGCACTGAAAGACAGCGCCGGTTCACCTCGTGACCCGCATCTTGCTGCCAGTGCCCAGCAAGAGCAATGCACAGTAAGTAATGTAGCTGCCAATTGCGCGGAGGCTGGCAGTACAGAGGGGACAGACTCACACTGCGCTAAGAACTGGGGACGTTTGAACCTGGTAGGAAGAGCAGCACACAAAGTAGAATATGTCGGGGTGATTATGGGAGAACCAGACTTCAGACCCTGCCCAAATTAACTGTTACCTGAGCCTGGAGATTTAGCTCAGCGGCATAAGCGCCTGCCTTCAAGCAGGCAGTTGTGAGTTTGATCCCCGGTACTGATAAAAATGAAAAAGACAAAAAAAAAAAAAAAATTTAACTGTTACCCAACCTCAAATCTTAGCTTGGTTTCCTTGGAGAAGGCTTTCAGCACACCTCCTTCCCAAAATTTAGGGCTTGCCATTTTAGTGTACTGGTAGAACCATGGTCTCTTACTTTACAACGGTCATTTATTGTGGTTTATAGTTGCTTAGTACCAGTCCTCTCACTAAGCGCTATAAAAGTGGGCTTGGTCTGCTTGTACTTGCCATTATTCTTTTTTTTTTTTTTTATCGGTACCGGGGATCGAACTCACAACTGCCTGCTTGCAAGGCAGGCGCTTATGCCGCTGAGCTAAATCCCCAGCCCCTACTTGACATTATTCTTAAGTGCCAAAAATAGATCTGGCATAAAGCAGGTGCTCAAGAAATGTTTGAACAACTCCTTAAGAGAAAATTAAAACTATCAATCAGACTACTTAAAACTTAAGGCCAAGGAGAGTGATCCATTGTCTCAAGGTCTGTGACCAAAGTTATTCTAAGCTATTCTCATTTAAATAAAAGTAAATGAACCATGAGGCTCTGAGTTAGAGCTCCAGCACCAGAAAATGATACTATAACAATGACCTGGCACAAATAGATACTATAACAATGACCTGGCACAAGTTGGTAGAAATAATCTTTGAAAAGACAAAAATCAGCAGATCTTTCAAAAACCCATTAAAATCCATAAACTATTTGAAGAGCTAACAAAGGAACAAAGAAAACCCACCTGGCATTGCAGTACATGCCTGTAATATAGGCATCCCAGCTAATAGGCTGAGGCAGGAGGCTCACAAATTTACTACCAGCCTAGGCAATTTAGTGAGAGCCTGTCTCAATAAATAAGTAAAAAGGTTTGGGAGCCAGGCATGGTGGTGCATGCCTGTAATCCCAACAGTAAGGGGCAAGAGGACTACTAATTCAAGACCAGAAGACCAGCAGAGGATTACAAAAAGATCCTGGGGGGTAGGGGGAAGTCTGAGAGTATAGCTCAGTGGAGCACTTGCTTAGGATAGGTTTAATCTCAACACTGAAAAAAAAAAAAAAAAGCAGTGTATATAGGCTGGGCATCGTAGCATATGTCTATAATCCTAGCACTCAGGAGGCCGTGGCAAGAGGATTGCCACAAATTCAAGGCCAGCCTGGGACACATACTGAGTTTAGTGATAGTCTGAACTAATAGACTGGAGAGAGAGAGAGAGAGAGAGAGAGAGAGAGAGAGAGAGAGAGAGACAGAGAGAGACAGAGACAGAGACAGAGACACAGAGAGACAGAGACACAGAGAGACAGAGAGACAGAGATAATATTAGGTGAAATAGTATATAATACTATATATTACTCAAACCAAGTACTTAAGTAAAATGCGTAATTTTCTAGGAAAATAAAATGCCAAGCATTGATTTAAAATGGAGCAGTAGACTGTTTCCTGACCACGCTGGAGAAGCCATCATACTGTGTTCTGGGGATATAGCTCATAGGCAGAGTCCTTGCCTGTCATGAAAAAAGCTGTGGGTTCAAATACTGAAAAAGTGAATTAAAAACATTAAAAATCTTCTATGCCCCAAAAGCATATAAGGTCTTACACAAAGATAAGACAATACTCCTGTGCTCATGGATCCAGCAGGTAGATTCCAGGCTTTGTGTACAAGGTCCATGATAGCAGAAACAAGAAAGGTGGCATAAACAGAAAAGTGGTGTTGGGGGAAACAGGGAACCAGGTGCAGCACACTGAGAAGTCAGGGTGCCACCCCAGGCAGCTGTCTCCCACTGGGCATCTGGGTAATTTACAGGACTAACTGACAGCATACTGAGTCATCTTAGGTGCTTTCAGAGAGCGTGCCTATCCCATAATTCTCTCTGATATAATTGTATGGATAAGATGTAGTATGTATTTATGGACTTTTAATAAGGGTTGGGTGGGGAAAAGTTTACCGAAGGTGAGTCCAGGAGATCTGACTGGCACTCAATCTAGCCTAGACCTTCAGGGATTTCTTGGGTCGGTGTAATTTTATTTTTTACTTCTCTCAGAATAATGGAAGGATGATTGGCCTTGGGGTGCCATCCAAACTCAAATGGATGGAGGGGAATGGTCTCCCAGTTCCCACAGTACTACCTGTACTATCCCTAAAGAAAATGGAGAGAGGACAGAAACAGGTAATTTACAAAATAATAAGCCCTGTGAAAGGTTGTTCAGTTCCTTGGAAATGTAAAAGCAGTTTCTCTAGATGAATGAATAAAGAAAATATGGCATTTATCCATACAGTGGAGTACTACCCTGCTACTGGAGACCCCTGCAATATGAAGATGTGGGATTTTTTAATACAATGGAGTACTACTCAGCCACAAAGAAGAAGGAGAGGGGAGAGGAAAGAAGAGAAACGTAAAAAAAAGAAGGAAAGAAAAACATGGAAACAAAGCTTTTACAAATAGGGAGGGGAGGAGGGGTTGAAGGCATAGAGAGGAATAAAAAACGAACCAAGTGATACGTACAGACACAAAGTTTCTATGATGGATGTGATTGCTATATGTATCTAAAATGTACTAATAAAAAATTTGATTTTAAAAAAGAGATGGAGGGAGGGGGAGGAGAGAAAGGGTGGAGATGAAAATAATTAAATAATTAAAATTCTACCCTTCCAGCTCTCCACAAGGAATGTAATCGCTATGAACTGCAAACATGTACTAAAAATAATTTCTCACGATTTCCTTTTTATCAAATTGTGGAAGATAAATCATTTTTGGTGTTGCAGAATAAGGTAAGTCAGTCTCATTGCAGCAGTGTGAATATAAACATGCACAAACGCTCAGGAGGCTCAGGCAACTGTTGCGACTTCCAGGCCAGCCTGGGCCACAAGCAAGCTTATGTAGGACTGCAGAGCGAAACCCTATCTCAAAACAAACAAGCAAAAGATGTGCACAGTCAGGCAGTACATACCCAAAGTCTAAAGTCCCCCTTCACCTTCGGAATCTGCACCTGAACTGCTATCTGATGCTGTTAAGAGTATTACTGTTAAGCCTCTTAGGCGTGTGAACAACACTATGGTACTACAGAACACGTCCTTTCAGGATCACCGTATTTAAGGGTGGAAGAGATGTGATCTGTACCTAAGTAAACGTTTGAAGCAAATATGCCACAATACTGAAAAACCTACATTATGAGCTCATTATGGTTCTGCATGCTCTCAGTTTAGGGTTTTTGCTTGTTATACTGGGGAATGAACCAATAGTCCAAACAGTGGCCTAAGCGCCTGCCTGGCAAGCATGAGGTCATGAGTTCGATTCCCCGTACCAAAAAAAACAAAACAAAACAAAACAAAACAAAAATTCCAAGCCCTTTTTATAATTGTACTTTTTGTCTCTTCTTTTGAAACAGCTTGCCCAGGTTAGGCTTGAACTTTTGCTCTGTCTGTCCTCAGCCTCTGGAAAGCCAGGATTACAGGTGTCACCCAGCACACGCTGCGTATACTTTCAAGGTAAAATCTTTTACATTACTCCTTCAGTATATAATCTTTTCCTCTCCATAGCGAAGACGCTAACCTTGCTCAGCTTCTGTCCTCTCGCAGAAAACCTGCTCAGCTCTGCACAGCCCAGCGCACCCGCAGGGCGCAGCACCAAGCCTCCGGAGCCACGCAGGCAGCGGCTGTAACGCCCCACCGCGCCTGCGCAGTCGCGGCGCTGGGCGGAAGCGCGGGCGCTGGGTCACGTGACCCGCGGGCTCCCCGGGAGGTGAGGAGGGAGTGCGCGGCGGCGCCTATCTCACCCCGGCCGGTCGGTGAGGCGGCGGCGGGGAAGACGGCAGAGGACGACGGCGCCGGCGCCTCGGAGGCCGCACGGCCCGGCGCGGAGGAGGTCATGGCATCTCTGGCCGAGCGAGTCCGGGGCCACGGGCGAATCGCCGCCGGGCTCCTGTTCAACCTGCTAGTGTCCATCTGCATCGTGTTCCTCAACAAATGGATCTATGTGCACCACGGCTTCCCCAATATGAGCTTAACCCTGGTGCACTTCGTGGTCACCTGGCTGGGCTTATACATCTGCCAGAAGCTGGACATCTTTGCTCCCAAAAGTCTGCCGCCCTCCAAGCTCCTCCTCCTGGCTCTGAGCTTCTGTGGCTTTGTGGTCTTCACCAACCTCTCGCTGCAGAACAACACCATCGGCACCTATCAGCTGGCGAAGGCCATGACCACACCGGTGATTATAGCCATCCAGACCCTGTGCTACCAGAAGAGCTTCTCCACCAGGATTCAGCTCACGCTGGTGAGTAGCTCCAGCTGCAGGCGGCGCAGCCCTCAGCCTGGACGTCACCGTCCCGGGAAGTTTGAACGCACTCTGTTTTAACCTTGCGCCACGCCCTCTCCCAGCATCTGGAATCCCGGAGCAATCTTCCGAACTTCGAGTTTTTTTGGCGGGAGGCGGGGGGGGGGGGGAAGGAGCCTTGTTGGCCCTATCCTGGGCTCTTAACCCAAGAAGGGTGTGCTCGTATGGGTTTTAGCAGTTAGTGTTGGACAGGACTGTAGTGCTGTGATTGGCAAGAAAGTGGTGTAGTCCAGTATATCAGAATATCTGTAAAACCTCAAAAACAGCTTTTCTCCTAGAGAGATCAAATCACAAAGGATAAACATGAAAAAGTCGACTCAAAATGTCTCAGAATATACCTGCCCAACATATTGCAGAAAACTGTCTGCATTTTAAATAAAAGGAGAGTCACAGAAGTAATGTTAGCATTTGGTGACTTGCATTTAAGATCTTAATGTTTTTGTTACGTGGTTTTGCTTATGTTTTGTAAACGCTAGTTTTGGAGTCCCTTTACTTACCAGTGCGTAAGTACCTGTGGTATTTTCTTGCATACCGCATTAACTCATCATTTTACCCCAAATTTAAAATAGAATTAAATGTGAACAGCAATAAAGAATTGCTGTTTAGGAGGTAGAATTAATAGTTTTCCCAAATGGAAAAAAAAAGCCTCTTTCATTGTTACCCAATTAAGTGTTTGTGACTAAGCATATAAGACAGAGTAAAAGGAATGCAGAGTGTATGTATCTTGAACGTAAACTGAACAGCATTTGCCTTTTTTTCTTTACAGATTCCTATAACTTTAGGTGTAATCCTAAATTCTTATTACGATGTGAAGTTTAATTTCCTTGGAATGGTGTTTGCAGCTCTTGGTGTTTTAGTTACATCTCTTTATCAAGTGGTTGGTAATTTTCTTTTTCTTTATGTGCCTTTTTAGCAGATTTCATAAATTTTGAAGCTGTATCCCAAGGTTTAGAAAATACAGTATAGAGGCAATAGACTGTTGGGAAGAGAGCGTAATGCATAAATTGTCTGACTCAAGGTGAAGAGAAGAAAGGAAACAGGAACTTGGTGTGTGATGCTCACCAAATACCTACTTGTTTGTAAGTGTATAATACCCGTGCTTAACACACTGAGTTTGGGGTGAAGTTACATTATTTTCTGGGCAAGCTTTACAGAATGAGAAATAAGACTTCTGCTTTGTAAGCTCTTTGGTTATATTCATCATTTATTCTTTGATTTTGAAGTTTGCTGTGAAGAAATGACTAAGTTATAGGAATTTGAACAGGAAAGAAAATTTTTTCTTTGCCTTAACTTATGTATTGGTTTTTAATAGTTTATATCAACCGAGTATTTTTAAAGTGGTTTGATGGGTGTGGTAGTGCACACATGTAATCCCAGCACTCAGGAGGCTGAGGCAGGAGGATCATCAAGAGGTCAAAGCTACCCTGGGCTACATAGTGATTCCCTGTCTCAAAAACTAAACCAAAACAAGCAAACAGAAAAACAAATTTAAAAAGTACCTCACTTTTTCAGGCACAACAGTGCCTTGTCTGTTATAGCTGACATTCATCAAAAATTTGTTCATGAATTCACTTACGGCTTTACCATAAAATCCCAGCATACAAATGTCTTTTATTTCTTATGCAGTGGGGAATAAACAACTTAGCGCACAGTACGAGGAAACAGTGTTTTCTCAGTAATGAAAACCTTGGTCTGAGTTCTGAGTGTGCCTGCATAGGGACTCAAAGCCAAAGTTTGTAATCAGTTTTACACTACATTAACTTACTGTAGTGAGGCTAGGCTGTAGGTACACCTGAAAGCATTCTTGTTAGAAATGTCAGGGGTTCAGTAACTCAGCCCTAGAATTTTAAACTATGGCAGTGATCATTTCTATAGCTTTTTTTTTTTTAAAGTAGTATAGCTGCAAATACTCTTTTTTTTTTTTTTTTTTTTTTTTTTTTTGGTATTTGAGAGCTGTTTATGAAAGGCAAGAACAGTAGCATGAAGAAATGGAGCCCTCACTCAGTCTACTTACTTAGCTCTGATATCCTGTCTTTTACTGCAGAGAAGTCTTAGGAGCTCAACTTTGTGCTTAAAAAATAAAAATTATTTGGATGCACTTTAGTGAGTTTAAACTTTGTAATTAGGTACAGTAAATGAACATTCCCATTTATCTGTTAAGTGCATTTTTTGGCCTAAGTGGGTTAAATGTTTACTAAAATTAAGATTTTTCATTTATCAAATGTTAGTTTCTATTCTCCTTATACATAATTTCTATTCACAGTACTCATTGTTTGTGTCAGTATGACTATTTTTGTTCACAGAAGTCTTAAAATTACTGATGATTAGAATCAAAGGATTTTTTTATCCTTAAGATAGATTTTGAAATGAGATTGAAATGAGATTGACCAGTGAATGATTGTAGACTCAATAGTAATCTAATGAGCAAATTCTGTTACCAATAAATAGTAAAAGTATTCTTACCACAGCTAGATCCCCCCAAAATTCCTGTTGTATCTGCCTCTTGAAAATCTGTGTATTTTTTAAGTCATTTTTTGCACTGCTGGAGACACTAAAAGGAATTGAAAAAGGAGTCCTTAGCTGTTAGCTTTTAGTAACAAAAGTTGACTTGTTCATTCAGCAGGCATCTCTTCTGCCTGATTCTTAGCCTTGGGGATACATTCATGGAAAGCAGCTATAACCCAGCATTGTAGGAGCACGTGGAGACAGCTGGTGGGCTCCTGGCGTGAGAAATGTTCTGGGGACTAGATGGCAGTTCTTGTTTCAGAGTGTGGATGTAAGACCTAAAGTTAACTGTTTAAGTGGAAGGATGCACAGGAGTTTGCTCAGCCGTGGGATGTAGCAGGTCTTTCCTTTACTTGATGAAGACACAGAGAATTCGAGACGGACTGGATTAGTTCAGTGAGGCTGGAGTCCCTAGGTGCGTCCCACAAGGCCGGAGCTGAGGTTCAGATGAGACCAGCTGGTGGAGTCTTACTGTCCTCGGAGGAAGTGTCTGTGCTCTGCAGGAGTTTAGGTGGAGTGGCTGGATCATCCCTGTGGTGAAGGAGCGTAACTGTGGTGCCAGTGAAGGGGCCTTAAGAGAAGAAAGGAAGGCGAGTGAGCCTTGGGACCTGTCTCTGCTTCATTAGGAGTGAAGGCAGCAGGGCCGAGGCGTGGACCTGGGAAAGTGAGAGCCACCCCCGAGACCTTGCAGACATTCTGTCCATGGGACAGAATGTGAGAGAGGAAAGCGGGGAGTGGGCTCCTGGGGAGAGGATGGCAGTACGGATTGGAGCGACACAGGAGAGCCCTGTCCTGGAAGGCAGGTGGCTGATTTTAAACCAGTTCTGCAGCAGGCTAAGTGAAAATGGCCGGGAGCTGTGGAAGCCAAGAGGTTGCAGATACTCAGGAAGGGCTGGCAGTGTAGCCCACAGGAGGTGGGTGTCTGCCTAGTGCCTGTGAGGCTCAAAGTTCTGTCCCAAGCATGACAGAAGACCTCGCAGAAGGGCGGCCTGAGCCGTGAGTATCAGCAGGAAAGAAAGAGATGATCAGTCAGGAAGGCCTGCGGCTGTGGTGATGGTGCCCTTCAGGAGAGCGTGAGAGGGTGGCAGGCACAAGCCAGGGTGTGCAAGGGTGAGGGACAGCAAGGCCCACCATTCCAGGGAGTTCTGTGGCAGAGGCGGAGACCACAGCCGCCGGTGAGGCTGGCCGAGAAGTGGAGAGGAAAGGCACTTCTGGAACAGGGCGCCCAGCCCTTGGGGAAGGGAGTGTGTAAAAGTTACTCAAAAGCATGACTCTTCTTGGCAGATCTCAAAGGCTCCTTTTCAGTCGTGTTTGGAAGCATTTTGAGGACTGATGGGAGTTGAGGTTTTGAGGTGTTGCTTCTACTGAATGTTACAGTGTTTTAGGATTTGCAGTGATCAGTGTATATTGCACTGGTTGGGGAATACTAGGCACAGAAAAGTCATCCATAGAGAGGAACGTTGTCTTCTACCATTGATTGGGTTTCCTGAAGTGACGAAAAAGACCAAATAGCTTTTAAACCACAGACACTGGCAGCCTGCTGGACATGACCAAGGTCAGTCTGTTAGTCTCTAACCTGCCTTATAACCCAGTCTGTTTTTCTTTTTTGACCAATTTTAGAAAGACTGTACTTACAGTTCTTCTCATCACCTAAATTTCCCTGCCTGCCTTAGTTTCCCAAGATCTCTGATGAGTTTGGGCCCCTACATGCATATACTTTTCCCTCTTCAGTAGGATCAGGAAGGGAAGATATTTCCCCACTTTTACAGAATTGAGAAGTGGAGAAATAGAAAACAGATGATTGAAATTGAATTTGTAAGCCTCCTCTTACCCAGGGTTTGAAGAGTATTCATATATCTGACTGACCTTTGCAGTCTTACAGAATAATTAGGCGTGCCTTCTTCTCTGAGCCTGTGCCCCACATCTCCATCTGCGTGGTTAGAGTTGCGTCTTTGATCGGTGATGCTTTTCTTTTGTCTGACTTGTTTTATCTCCTAATTTTCAGTGGGTAGGTGCCAAACAGCATGAGCTGCAAGTCAACTCAATGCAGTTGCTGTATTACCAGGCTCCAATGTCTTCTGCCATGTTGCTAGTCGCTGTGCCCTTCTTTGAGCCAGTGTTTGGAGAGGGAGGAATATTTGGTCCCTGGTCCGTCTCTGCTGTGGTAAGTTCTGATTATTTTGGTGTTTAAGACACAAAGTAATGATAATCTTTCCAAAAGTAATACAATTTTCACTTTATAGAGTACACTGTCTCAGTATACAATCTCAGATCTGTTCTCACATTTAATTTTCTTAATCACCCTTCATGGATGACAAGGAAAAGGTTGTGTTTCAGATGAAGAAACAGGCACAGAGAGATAGGTTTTGGCCTAGGTTAGAGGCCAAACCAAGGCTATAATTCAGATCTTTGGATGCCTGGTTACTGTTTGATGATGTCAATCTACAGCCCACAAATAATTGTGATGTTTAATTTTAATTTTTATAATGAAAATGCAGGTTTGTTGGCTTTGTTTTGATAAAAATAATGCATGCTCATTGTATAGATTTCGAACATACATAAAAATATGAAGAAAAACAGCCAGCTGTGGTGGTGCACTCCTGTAATCCCAGTTCTCGGGAGGCTGAGGCAAGAGGATTGTTATGAGTTTGAGCCCAGCCTGGGCTACAAAGTGAGCTCAAGGCCAGAACTGTGTAGTAAAACCCTGTCTCAAGAAAGATTAAAAAAAAAGAAGAAAGTGGAAGCCCTTGGAATCCTTAAAATGCTTTACTGTTTTGATGATACTCTTTTTTTTTATGTGCACATAAATATGCATACATGCGTATGTGTATACTTTTATGTAATATAGTCATTTTGGATAGTATTTGATTAAAAATTTATTCTTAATAAATACATGTTTGTAGTACATGAGATGCCATTGGTTGTAAGGAATTGGTACAGGCACAAAGCATCTCAGTTTTTTCCCGTCCCCTCTACCCCAGAGTTAGATTCATTTATTTTGTGTCCTTATCAAATTAAATACCATAAACAGATTAACAGCCAGACTAACAGTCCAAAGAACATAAACACGTAAAGCAATTACATTAAATCATAGTACACTTTTAAGAGTTAGGCGTGGTGATGCATGCCTATAATCCCAGCACTTGGGAGGCTGAGGCAGGAGGATCATTGTGAGTTCGAGGCCAGGCTAGATTACATAGTGAGGGCAAGACCAGCCTGAATTACAAGGTGAGACCAAAAAAAAAAACCCTGAAAAACCAAATAAATTACACCTTTATATACACTGGCCATGATGGATTACAATAAGTTTTATGTTTTGTCTCTTATTTTGCACTTTTTTTATAGATTTGATTTTTCGTATAAGAGAAACCATGTGATTGATATATATATTTGTTGTTGTTGTTGTTGTTCCGGGGATTGAACTCACAACCTAGTGCTTGGCAGGCAGGCCCTTATGCCGCTGAGCTAAATCCCCAGCCCACCATGTGATATTTAAGCTTGTGTATCTGATTCATTTCACTTATCAGTATGGTCACAAAGAATACCAATTTTCCTTCGGATGACTCAAGTTTATCCTTCTTTGTGGCACACTAGTTTGCTATTGTGTATAAAGACCACATTTATATCCATTCATCTGTCCATGAACATCTAGGCTGCTTCCAAGATTTAGCTCTTATGAGCTGTGCTGCTGTAACAGTGGGTATGCCTGTATCGCTGTGTTAGGATGTCTTTTAACTCTTTTGGGAAGATTCCTAGAAGGGAAATAGCAGGGTCCAGTGAAATTCCTGGTCTTTGTGAGGACTCTCTGACTGGTTTTCACAGTTTATGCTCTTAGCAACCAGGAAGTTTCTTTTTCTTTCCAGCCTTTCCAGCTCTTGTTATTGTTGCACTTGATGACAGCTGTTCTTTCTGCAGTCAGGTGGAATCTCAGTGTTGTTTTAATTTGCATTTCTCAAATGGCCATCAATATTGAACATGTTTTATTACCATTCGTACTACTTCATCTGAGAAGTGTATGTTCATTTCCAATGTCCATTATTTGACTTGCTCTTTGCATTTGAAAGGTCTAATATTTTGAGTTCTTGATGTATTCTACATATTAGTCTTTGCAGGAGTAGCTGGCAAAGTTTTTTCCCCCTTCTGTGGGCTGTATCTTTACTCTATTGGTTACTTCTTTTGCTGTGCAGAAGCTTTTAATTGGATATGATCCCATTTGTTGATTCTTGGTATTATTTCTGCTACAACTAGGGTTCTGATCTTTGCCTTTAACTATGTCTTTAAGAATTTGACCTATTTTGTCTTTCAGCACATTGAGTGTCTCTATTTTAATATTTAGATCTTTGATCTACGTTGAATTTAGTTTAGTACATACTAAGAGATATGGATCTAGGCTCAACCTTCTACTTGTAGATAACCAGTTTTTCCAGCACCATTTGTTAAAGAGACTGTCTTTCCTACAGCAAAAGCATTTCAGCCCCTTTATCAAAGATAAGGTTGCTGAGTGTATCTGGAGTTGTTTCTGCATTCTGTATTGTATTCCATTCATCCACAAATTGTTTTTTTGTTTGTTTTGTTTTGTTGCTGATACCATGCTGTTTTTAACACTGTAGCTTTGTAGTATATAACTTAAGATCTGGAAATGTGATACCCCTGCCTTGCCATTCTTGCTCAGAATTGCTTTTACTGTTCAGGTCTCTTCGGGTTCTGTATGAATTTTTTTTTGGTACTGGGGATTGAACTCAGAGCCTTGCACTTACCAGGCAAGCACTTGATCCCTAGCCCAGGTTCTGTATGAATTTTAGGATTGCTTGCTCTAGTTCTGTGAGGAATGGTATTGGTATTTTTATTGGGATTGTGTTAAATCTGTAAACAGTTCTGAAAGTACCACCATTTTGACAATATTGATTCTACGTATTGAGCAACTGGGGACATCTTTCCATTTTCTCATGTCCTTTTCAATTTCTTTTCTCAGAGTACTGTAGTTTTAATTGCAGAAGTCTTTTACTTCCTTGGGTAGGTTAATTCCTAAGTATTTCATTTCTCTTAATGCCTTTGTAAAAAGTATAGTTTCCCTATTTTCTCTCTCCGTGAGTTATTATTGGTGTACAGGAGTACAGATTTTTGTGTGTGTGCGTATCAGAAATCAAACTCAGGATCTCATACTTGCCAGACAGGTACTTCTCCACTGAGCGAAATCCCCGACCCCCAGGAATACAGATATTTGAATACTGACTTTGTATCATGTTGTGCTACTGAATTTAGTTATTACTTCTAAGAATCTTTCCATGAGTTTTTGGGGTCTTCATATCATCAAATAATGATAATTTAACTTGTTCTTTTGCTGTTGATACGCTTTTTATTTCTCATCTTAATTACTCTGGCTAATGTTTCGAGAACTATATTGAACAGGGATGGTGAGAGCATTTTGTTTCTGCTTTAGAGGGAAAGCTTTCAGCTTCTCGATTAGTGTGATGTTGGATGTTGATTTGTCATAGATGGCTTTTTATCAGATTGAGATAAAATTATACCTACTTTCTTCAGGCTTTTTATCATGAATAGATGTTGGGTTTTTGTCAAATTCGTTTTCTACATCGAATCATAGGATTTTTGTCCTTACTTTTCTATTTATCTGGTTTATTGCTTTTTGCATGTTGAACTATTTTTGCATCCCTGGAATAAATCCTACTTAGTCATGATGTATCTTTTTGGTGACCTGCTGCATTCTTTTTTCAGTGCCTTATAATATTGAATATTTTTGTGTATATTCTTTAAAGAGTTTAGCCTTTGCTGGGTGTAGTGGTGCATGCCTATAATCCCAGCAAGCAGGAGGCTGAGGCAAGAGGTTGCCAACTTGGGTTACCAAGTAAGTTCAAGGCCAGCCTGAACTACATAGTGAAACACGGTGTCAAAAAGATTAAGAGAGGGAGAGGGAGAGGGTAGAGAGGGAGATTGGCCTGTAGTTTTTTGTTTTGTTTTGCCTTTTGGTGAATCCTTTTTGGTTTTGGAATCAGGGTAGTGCGTGCTTTCAGGAATGACTTTGGGAGTACTGCTTTGTTTTCAGTTTGACTTAGAAGTTTGCTGAGTACTGGTGTTAGATCTTGTCTAAAAGTTTCTGTAGAATTTTGCAGTGAATTGGGACTTCCTAGGCTTTTGTTGGTTGGCATTTTTATTACTTCTTCAATTTTATTACACTAATGTTAGATTATTAGGATTTTCATACCTTCTTGGTTCAGCTTTGGTAGTTCATATGTATCTAGGAGTCTGTCCATTTCTTCTGAATCTTCCAGTTTTATTAGAGTACAGGTAACCAATGATCTGAATTTGAGCTGAACTCATTGCTTTTTTCATGTTTAATTGCATGGATTTGGGTCTTTTCTTATTTTGGTAAGATTGGCTAAAGGTTTTCTACTTTTTTTTTTAATCGGTATTGAGGATCAAACTCATGACCGCGTGCTTACAAGGCAGGGGATTATGCCACTGAACTAAATCCCCAGCCCCCCCCCCCTTTTAAATACCAGAATCAAGCTCATGACCTCACGCTTGCCAGGCAAGCACTGTGCCACTGAGCTATATCCTTGGCCCTTTGCATATTCTTTCAAAGAATCACTGTTTGATTTTTCATATTGATATTTTAATCTCAGTTACATTAATTTCTGCTCTGCTCTGCTCTTTATGATTTCTTTCCTTGTCCTTGCTTTGTATTTGGGTTTTTCTAGAACCTTAAGGTGCATCATCAGGTTATTTGAGCTTACTGTTTTTCTGATGTGGGAATTCACTCCTCTAAGGTGCCTGCTTTAGTACTGCTTTCATTGTATCACATAGGTTCAGGTGTGTCATACCAACATTATTGTTTGATTGTAGAAACTGTCTAATTGCGGGCGTGGTGGCTCACACCGTAATCCCAGCACTCGGGAGGCTGAGGTGGGAGGATTGTTGTGAGTTCAAGACCAGCCTGGGCTACAAAGTGAGCTGAACTGCATAGCGAGACCCCCCTCAAAAAAAGACAAAAAAAAAGAAAAAAGAAAAACTGTCTAATTTCTTCTTTAATTTTACCTGTGATCTATTGATTATTCAAAAGGATTTTAATTGCTATGTATTTGCATAATTTGCAAATTACGTGGTTTCTTTTGCCATTGATTTCTTGTTTTATTGCACCATAATCTG